AACTTGCAAAGGTTGCGAAGTCGAGTGATTGCCTGCTGGCGGCGCCGTATTCGTGGTATCCTTTTTCGCATGTCGGAGCTCAGAGCTCGAACGTCCATCACTGTTGGCGTCCATGACGCGAATCGAACAGTGTATTTCATTAATACGAGTCGTATTTATAACGTGTATTTGGTGCACTTTTTTTTTTTTTTTTTTTTCATCTCCTGCTTCAAAATAACCTAATGGCTTTGCAATGCAAGCTAGTAAATTTGCGTGCTCATTTGTAAAGTTTCATTTTTATGTTTATTCTCTCTTTTTAGCTAACCCAAACCGTGGATCTCAGAATAGTCATAGCGCCTAATTTTAAGCCGTGTATAGTAATGAAAAGCAATAATTTAGGTATGTGAACATAGTAAGGCATAAGAGAGCTGTGTGTTTAAAAGGAAGAGAAGCTTTTGCGGAGCCTTCTAACAGAAACTAGTTCGTATTCACGTTACATTCGTGAGAAACCAACCATGTAGTCAGCCGGTTAGCTTGAGTTCGAACCCAGTGTGAACTAACAGCATTCAGCAGTCTTTAAAAGTTGGGGGCCGATACGCGACAAAGAAAAGTTTTGCAAATCGCGTAAGGAATGCGCAGTTTATATGTTTTTCTTAAAATTGTTTTCGGAATTTGAAAAAACTCTTTCTGCTATGTTTCTTAATTAATATATATTTTTAAGCTTTTCTAATATTCTTCAAAGTTGTTGACTGCAAGATACAGGAAAGATTTCGTTTAAGAATTTATTTTAAAATTGTAAAATTAATTAACTATTTATCTACTCTTGTTTCATTTTTTTGTACTTTGTAGATACACTTTTGTAGATAAATTATACTTATAGATAAATTATACTTATATTAAATTATATTTTGGAGATAAGTTTGTGCTTTTGTAGATAAATTATTCTCTTTCCGCTTACTAGACGTCGAGTATAAGAGGTAAAATTTAATATAAAATTTATAGAAAGCTACATGTCACCGTACGCCTAAACAAAATTTAGCTACTTATTTTTGTGGGGTCTTACAAATTCATATACAGTAAGATCCTCAGATAGGTAACATCTCTTACCAAAAATAAATAGGTTCAAGAATAAATTATATGAACAAGAAAGTTCTGTTTAACGAAATGGTGTCTCGAGTTACGAAAACCCAAATTGGCAACAGATAATTTCTAAAAATATTTTGAAATATCCTCTTATGTAGAATTAACACTGAGGTATACCGTTTTAATATTCTCCGTTGCGTAACGTTTTCCAAGAAAAACCTAACAGTAGGTGACTTAACCTAACAGTAGTTCTCAGGCTTGAAGAACTCGGCCTGGAAGAAATTATGGCCAGACTGTATTGCAGTGAGAGACTGTGCAATTTGAGGGAAAGGAGGCTTTATCTCCTCTCTAGGAAAATTCATATGCTTGGAAATTAAGAACGAAAATGCGGAAGATTTACAATATGATCATAAAATGCGCTCCTGAGGAAAGATATACAAGAGGATTGTGGAAGAAACGTCTTCGGAGAAAAGGACTAAAGAAAAGATGATTATAGCTCTTTGACCTACGAAATCGTACAAAATGAAGTTATGTGCTAAGTTTCGCACAATGAGATCGCCCGGTCGGGCGATCTCATTGTGCGAAACAATTTCAATCACAGTGTCATGTTTTACTTTACAAACACCTAGACAACAATAACTGACAATGACAATTTCGTGTGAAATAGAGATTTATAGAATTTCAAGCAAACTCAAGTAGAGCTAAGAAACAAATAAACGATAAAACATGCTGCACCCCCAAAGTTACCTAGTGCTTTTATGGAAGGAGAGTCTTCATCTAAACAACAAGAATTGTAAATTATCTCTTTCTCATCACACTCCACTTATGACGTCCACTCTTCTTCATAAGGGTACAGTAAAATTAAAATAAGTTTTCGTATCATTTAGGCGTTGTTTCTGCCTTATATACGGAGGGATGGATTTTTTTGTATTTAATCAATTCCATAGTTTTGTGTTATGTATTTAAGCATAAAAAATTGTTGCAAATTTTAAATAAGGAATAAGTTGTGGTCCAAAAATTAACTAACTCTTTTTACATTTATTCCTATAGGGAAAGTACTTTTGGTTTATGAACAGTTCGAATGATTAACGGTCTTCGTGAAGTAATCAAATTCGTGAACAGCGGTTTTACTGTAGGATCATAAATAGTCAAAAACTGCGACTGATATGAGGATCTTAAAATGTTCATAGGAAATTTTTGTTCTTATTTTACTTTTCGAATGCTTCATACGGAACAAAAATTGCTCGCAAATACACGTTTCAGGAAGGCACGTTATTAACCAAGAATCTTCGTGAAGCACTTGTAATTAATTGCTCTAATTAGTTAAATGTTCATTGTGTTGCGTGTCTGATCACACTCTGTACTTCCCAACTATTAATTCGCCCGTTAAATCTGATATCAACGGAGAATCAAATTTCAGTTATCCAGTAGTCTTGAAATCTGCTCTTAGAGATTTTGATAAAATGGCGAAAATGTCGCATAGGTTTCGCAATTTACCTGGCTTCCTCTGAAACAGAGTTATGACCGAATTAAGTTTCCCTCTTAATGCAGAATTACCATGATTTTAATTTAATTTCAGATACATTTGATAGAATATTATTTATTCGTCGTTTCTGCCTTAAAACGTAAGCTGAATTCATTTATTTATTCAGTCATATCCGTCCAAAATTTTCCAATTCATTTTTCACTTATATAATGAGGGTTGCATAAACAAATTTCTGGAGCTGGATAGGTCTGCCGAGTCTAAAAAAAAGTCTTTATTATTTTCTGTTAAGTTCCTTTTTTCAAATCAAATTAATTCTTATGAGCCACTTAATAGTGCTTATAAGTGTTTTAAGTGGTAAACATTTCAATTCTTTATAGCACTCTTCATCCCCTAAGAAATCTATTTAATAGCTGAGCCAAAAAAAAATTATCATTGAATGTTGGATACTGCGTCTAAATATTCACCCTCTTCGATATTTATCTTTGTATTTCTGTGTTTTTTTCTAACAGTTTAGTGATACATTATGTAGATTGAAATCTTATAAAGTATTTCGAAAATAAGAGACATATTTTCTAAAATAAATAAATAGAAATGTTAAGAAAAATCCTAAATAGCATGGAATAATAACAAATAATGGCTTTCATATTTCGTAAATGTTAAACCAGCAGAATCCAGCTAACAGAATAAAGTAAAGCTAGATGTTTTATTAAACAAAATTTGATTTTTACAGACGTATTTTCACATTTTATTAGAGGAAAAAATAATCTAAATTTCAGTTTTCATATAAAAATTGCGATAATTACATAAAAATATAAAATTCATCAGTGAAAGTATGTTGAATAGTCACATTAATAGAAATCCTTATCATTTAATTGGAGAAAATTAAAACATTTTAAATATTTTCTCAGTGCATTAACCAAAATAATAAAATAATGAAAATAATAAAATAGTAATAATTTATCTTTACCAGAAAATTATCAAAAACTGTCGCTGCATCAGAGCAAACTTTAATTTTTCTTTAAAATGATAAAATTAAATTCCGTGAAGAGTTGCTCGATTTAAGAAAGATATAGCCAATTTTTAATAATTTTTATCTTTATTTTAATTTTCATAACGCTTAACTGAGCAATTTATAATGACTGTTTTTGATAATTTTCGTAAAACTTTTTATCTTTAACATTGCTCATCGAAAATTATTCTAAAAGCATATGGTATGTGCTTGGTTACAGTATAAGGTATTTCTCCCGTCTTCTTAGCGTGCCTTCGTGGTGTAGTGGTCTGCTCGCTGGGCGCGTATTCCAGAGGTCCGTAGTTTGATTCCCGGCGAAGGCGTTGCTCATTTTTCATCACTTCCTGTTGCAATTTTAATGTTCAGCAATGCATCTGCATTTATTAACAGAGCGATTTGTCGAATTAAAGCAATTCTCCGGATCATTATGTGATTTGGTCGCTGGTGACACATGACCTTCCAGATAAAATTTTGCTTCGTAATCTTTTCTGTTAATATTACTCTTTAAATATTGCTCTTTGATCATTAACTAATAGTTTTCCCTTTCCAATTTAAGTTTCCAAATTTAATGCCTGTCTTTATATTGTCTTTCCGCGGCATTTAGTATTTTAGGTAACTAAAGCTAACGTTTGTATAAATTTTATACCTGAAGTCTGGTGCCGTTTCACTAAACTTTGCATATTTTCAAAAGAAATATCAGCAGAAATAAACATTTAAGAGCTAAACTTCTGGGACCTGCTTTTCTTTATCCCTCTTAAAAAAAGAAATGCTTTTCTCAATTAAAATGTTCTTTTGAAATTACGCTGTTTTCAAAATAAATGAAGAGCATATTAACATATTTAACGTAGATAAGGTAACAAAACACTTTTATAAATGTTTTCCTATTTTAAAGAATAAGAAAAGTTTAACACAGTTATTTTATTTCATGATACCGTTCCATTTATATTTTTATTTGTAAATATAATTAGTATCAAAACTTCTATGGCGCATTTGTATCGCTTAGATGTCACTGTGGTTATTTCCATAACTATTGCCATTGCTAAATAATTCTATCGGAAAGCAAAAAGAGTGGTTTTAATTATGAGCGAAGTCCATATAATTTGTTGACATATAAAATAAACTTACAATTATGTAAAGTTTCTGAATACACAAAACTCAATAGCATTCAACATATACTACATTATACTGACACTGGACTTTTCTCGATAATTTGAAAAGCAATCACTACCACTTAATTCTGGACTTAATTAAATAAAGTGCTTCAGAGACAACTCAGCACCATTCGGTTAATCCGATTAACGAGAAAACGGGCGTGTTACCTTGGCGAGTGTTGTTCCGCTCTTCCGGAAGTTTGGCGATTTTTGGCGAGAGATATCCGTTTTCGGCAACCCACAGCACGGCGTTATATGAGTTGAAGAGAGAAGCGAGCACAGGCGACTGACACCCATCGTAGGCACCAACTAGTTCTGTATTTTTACGGCTCATTAAGTCATACGTTGTCAATTGGATGTTAATGTACTTTCCACCCTGGAAGTTTGCAAGCCAAATTCCAAAGCATCGTACTTACTCTGAGTAATTTAACTGGTAAGTTTTCTTCTTTTTTTGAATATATTTAAGTTAATTAAGTGGCACTACGACGTAAGCGCAAGAAATATCACATGAAACGAATATAATAAATGTAGGAATTCAAATAAAACTTGGTTTAGATTTTACTATTTTTTTGAATGTGGTGTTTGCAGACTTAGCTGCAAGTTGAACATATCTGTATGTAGTTTTGTTTACATTTCTTTTATGTGTTCTTAAAGTTAGCATATTATTATCGAGTTAGGATGTGGTTTTTAAGGGGCTGTTGGTATTTGTTTATCGAAATAATGTTATGAGCACTTATGTAGTGGCCTAGAAGATTCCCACAGTTAAGTTTTATGAAAACTGTAGTTGATTTTTATCGAGGAATGGTAAGTATATAAATTAGATTATTTCAAAAAATCGTTTTGAATTATGTAGTAAATTTTTAAAGAAGGCAGGGTCTGATTAAAACGGGCTGCTGTCCTACGAACTGAAGTATATTTTATTAAAGAAATTTAGATTTTAATCAGGAATGATTTTCAGGCTATCTAAAGTCTAATGTTTGGCTTCATGCGTCAAGGAAGTAAACAGGGCCTGGTAAAGGTTATTACGAAACTTAAATTAATATAATCTTTAGTAAGTAAGGAATTAATTTTATATGCCAAGAAATTTAAATTAATTTTAATTTTGTGTTTAAAGTATTATTTTTAAATTTCTGAAGCAACGTTCTTTCTTCTGAAAATTGTTATAAAAACAAGACAGCTATAACTTCAAAAAGAGTACAAATCTGTCAAAATGTTTTGCACTAGTTTGCCAATATCTTCTTCATGTAGCTTAAAAACTATATGTTAGTGCATCGTAAACTCTGTAAAACACTACCATTTATATTAAGATAAATCAATTTTTTTCCCAAGGCATAAAAGAAGAAACATTCCTTCACAAAGACATCCTCTCTTGATCAGATAAAACTTCAAATTCTTTAATTTGTTACTGATGCATCGATTATTTCGATCCATCATATATTTTATTCATGTACATTCATGTAGTTTTAGGCTTTTAAAAGCATTTGTGCTTTTGCAGCAAATGCTTTAAGTGATTGTAAAAGAGGACATCTGTAACTAGGTATGCCACATTTTCAATCCAGTTAAAATTAATTAGTCAAAGTTAGGCAAAATTCAGCTTTACAAAACGCACTGTACATTTCGAAGGAAGCGCGAATGGAATTCTTCTTCTTCAAAGGTCGTTTTTGTAAAACAAACATTAATATAAAACTGAATTTTGCGTAATTTTCGTCCATATATTGCCTACATGATTTTAGCAAAGGCTGTGTTTAAGAAATTCACTTAGTTTCCACTCGCTTCTTAAGCATTCGCCAGGAATAGCCGAACTTGTCGGTCATTTATCCATGTTATGACGATAGCTTTGATCAGTTTCGGAACTTGGAGTGACCGATATAGTACCCGCATAGAGGGATGGTCAGGTAGTACACTTGACTTCCACCTTTGGTTTCGAGGTAGTAATCAGTCTCCGCTTAGCTTTATACCGTTCAGAATTCTTTTAAAATTTATTATATATGATTTTAAATGAAAGGGATGATATTATACCAGGCTAAGTTGAAAATTACTTCGCTAACTGAGAAAAATTGAAAGAGGTATTATGGTTCAAAATTAGGTGTTTACAAGAATTACAGGATTAGGATTATTTCCATTACACCAAAACACGCACGAGCTATCTTCTTAAGGGCAGCGATATCTTCGTGGAAGAGGTTTTAAAGGAAAACTATCTCGTATATACAGGAACCAAAAAGATGATAATTACTGTAAAACAACACGCAGATGAAGGGTTATTTTGAAGCAAAAACTGTGTGATAGAAATGAGCATAGGCTAATGTATAGAGTATTATTCTAATCAGTCAAACATATTTCTGTATTTCAAACTTTTCGCATTAACCGAAGCAAAAGACAAATACAGTTTCTGACATTCAGTTAAAAAAACAAACAGAAAATTATCTGAAAGGTTTTAGATTTTAACTGGTGCCCAAAACGGTTTAGTCGACCAGTCTGCTCTTGCACTCTCCTGCTAACCCACTTTTTTGTCTTTTTAACTTTATCATTATGTATCGCTTTCATATCACTTATGCCATATCCAATTCAACAGCAAAATCAGAAAAAAATCTAAAAGCAGCATAGCAGTATACATTTAGAATTCTCGATGCAGCGTTAAGTGTTGGCATGCAATTTTTTTTTTTTTTTTTTTTTTTTTTTTTCAGTTTCTCAGTTCATCCAATGTTCAGGGTTTTACTAAGATAGCTTTGTAGACCTTTTTTGTCTTTTTATTATTAACGCTTTAAGTACTTACTTTATTTATTAAATTTCATATTCTTGGCTCTTACACACATAAAATTCGATTCAACAGCAAAATCTCAAAGTATTTAAAAACAGCATATCTTTAGAATTTCCGATAGAAAGTCTCATGGGCTGGAGATAAAAATGTTTTATTCCGTACAGTATTACAACTGCTTGCTTTCAAATCGTTACATTTGTTAATCAAACGTTCGCTAAAATTTTACAAAATGTGAAATAGGTAATGAAATAAATTCGAAATTCATAATTCGAGATCCCAGGTGCGCATGTTCGGGTGGGAGGACTTAAAATTGATGGCTTTAAGTTCCGTCATTATTGTACATTGCGAGAAACATACATACATTCATGCAAATTTTTCATTATGTAATTAATATCTTTAAAAATAATAAGGGGAGATAATATTTGGTGGCAACTGTTTGAAAAGCAGTTGGCCGTTTATTGTGAACCAATGAAAAATCCCATTTCGAGACTAATAGCCACTTTTGGGCTTTACAAAAGGAACATAATTTTATGAATACAAAATCTTCTCTTCTCTATAGTCTTCCTCATCTTCTGTTACTCAATCTCCTACCGTTTAGCTTGTAGCATCATGATTAGAATGGCACCGTCTCTTGCATTGCATTTAATGTCTACCCCCTTATAAGAAATGAAACTATACACTACATGCTACTCGTATGTACCGGGACTATAAATTTATCGTATGAGTTTTTTTAACGCTTTAAAGTACTTTATATATTGGCTAAAGATATGTAACGTTAATTGATCTTCCATTTCTAAGCCGTGTCATCTTATGCATGGTTTCACAGGAATGTTGTTCTTTGAAACACCCGTTTAACTAGTAGACCTATATAGTATATCTATGAGTCTGTTTATAAAAAAATTGTAACAGTGGAAATTTTAAATCATATTCCTTTGAAACAGCAACATAAAATTATAAAAAAAGATTAGCAACAAATAAACCAATGCAAAAAGCTGAATAAGTGAAAAACAAATTCAAGAAACAAAGGACTATAAAACAGAAGTGGTTTTACATTTCTGTTGATATCTTCATCAGGGATATGGTACTAGAGAAATGTAATACTCATACTCTCTTTCTGAGCTAACTAATGAATAATTCAAATTCAAGGACAAATAATTTAATAATAATTTTTTAATTAAGTTGCTAAACAGACGTTCAGCCTCAACAGGCTATGAGTGCGATGAAACATCAGGTGGTTAAGTAATTTCTTAAGTATCGGAAAAGAAAAGATAAAGCGATGAAACTTTTAAATTATACAATTATCCATAAAATACCAGTATGGCCTTGGACAAAAAGCAAAAAAACATAGATGGCCAGTAATGGCCGCTGCACGTGGCCAGAATCCTTTTGCGGGAATTTCAGCTACGTTTTAAAATGACGTGCGTGCCAACTGTTTTTTGATGAGGAAATCATGACCCTTTTTTACATGTACTGTGTCTAGTTATTTATGTATGCAATGCAGGCATCAGTTTTAATCAGAACTTTTCTGCCTGAATGAAACCCCACAGTAAATATTTAGACTACAATTTTTATCAGTATTTTCAGTCCCTTTTTGTATCATAATAACACTGTAGTACTGAACCGAATTTTACGCTTTTAAGCTAAAACTTGCTTAACTTTACTAGGGTGCAGACAACTTATCATCCTTGCCTTTACATTAGAAGTCTCTCTGAAGTGAATACGACAAGAATAAAATAAAGCTAAAAGCTTATTCACTGCAAATTTGTAAGTACAAATAGTTAAAAATTTAACTTCTAAGCCACCTTTACTTGAAGGCTGAGACACCAAATTTTAAGAATGTGCAAATCAAGTAACGAATTAAATACGGTTCCCAATCACGCGCCTAACATGGTTCCTAATCACGCTCAATTTCTAGGCAAAAACACTAGCTAGAAAACTTCGAAATAGCACATTTAAATAAGGCGTGTGGTTGTTGAGAAGACAGCTGCACTGCTTGAGTTAGCAACTCTATATCCTTTACGCATTCACATGTGGTTGAAGTTCCATGTAATGTACTTGCTGACAAAGTTGGCGGAAAAGCACAAGTATAAAACATATCTAGTATATGTATAAAAGAAGAAAGTATGTTTGTTTGTCCTCTAATAACTCAGTGACTACTATTGTTATCGTCACCAAACTTTGTACAATTCTTTTCTGGGTCCTGGAAAAGGTCGACGTCCACTTAAAATCAGAAATATGAATTAAAAACTTCAAAAAACGAACACTTTCGCCATCATTTTTCCTAGTGGCAACAGTATCGCAAGCTGGAGATGAAAATCGGCTTCATTTCGAAAGTTGTTGCCACTGATCCCTTTCAAATCCTAGAGTTTGTTAATAAAAAATTTCTAAGTTTTACAGTGAAATAAAAATAGCAATGCCAAATATTAAATACGTTATTTCCGATTCCAAAAATTCCTGGGAAGCCATTTCGACTATTCCCATCTTCGTACGACTTAAAGCAGCCGAAATATTAATTCAAAAATCCAAAACCTCTAATTTTCGCACTCGTTTTTCCGCGTGGCAACAGACTCCCGCGTTGGAGATAAAAATGCTTTGTTTCGAAAAGTGTTGCTACTGCTCGATTTTAAATCGTAGAGTTTGTTAATGAAAAATTTGTAAATTTTACAAAATCTATA